CGCGGTTCTAGGTGTGATTCCGGGGGGGGGGGGAATCGTGCCGTCTTCGTGGGTCCACAGGTGGTGAGGCACCTCTACGTGCCAGCCCTAGACTCCAGGTGCGTGTAGGACCGACTTGTGTTTAAGTATTTATTTAAGAAAATCTTGTCTCCATTTGTACTTAAGCACTATTCTCTTTTGCACAGCCGAATATTTAGTTATGTTCTATGCCGGGCATTCTGCCGCGAAACAATAAAGTTAGGACACACGGACGCTGGTTTTGTTTCTGAATCGAGCAGCCTTGTGGGGTGGGAGCAGGAAACAGCAGGGTGTCAAGCTGCAGAGGGGGAGGCCCTGGCTGCCCATCTGTGGCCTGTCCGTCCCAGGGGCCACCCTTGGGTGCTGAGGGGAGCATGCAGACGCAGGGACCCTGGGGCTTCCTGACCTGAAGTTCCCTTCCCCCAGTGCCCGCCCTTCCAGGCTTAACTGTCACTGGGGTTTAACCACAGAGGAGCCCCCCAGGGTGGCAGCAGCTGTGTGTTCCGTGGGCCACCCGTGCCCTGGGCTCACGGGGGAATCCCTTGCAAGGTGAGCACGTGCACCCTCTCAGGTATGTCTGACCCCCAGCCCCAGGCAGGCAAGCATCCTTCCCCCGCTTGGAGCTGTATCTGCAGGAAGCCTGATGTCTACAGCACGGAGAGAACTTGCTTTGAGCGTCTCTCCCAGGCTGGCCCCAGGGTCCTGGGACTTGGTCAGCGTGGGGGAATGGGGTGTATTCTGAGGCCTGCTTTGGGTGTTCTCAGGGTCCGGGACTGTGCCTGCGGGGTCATCACCAGTCTGAGGCCTCACGGTCACGCACACAGAGCCGCCCAAGAACAGAACTGTCCCCTGGGTCCACGTGGAGCTTCCAGCACCAAGTGACCTTGGAGAGGTCATACGGGTCCACTGCAGGGGCTGGAGAGGGGAAGCCAGCTGCAGGCCACAGCAGGACCGCCCAGAGGCTAGCTGAGTTCATCGGAAAGCAGAGCTTCCATCTCCAGCCCAGGGTGGTCGGTCAGAGAAGACAAGCTGGAGCTGGCTTTCCCCAAGGTTACCTTGCTGGTGCTGGGTGAGGGACAGGACGGCACCAGCCGCCACACACCCACGTGGGTCCCGCCAGCCCCGGCTCCACAGAGGAGTCCCGAGGAGCAGCCTGGGCTTCTGACCCGCCTGTGCCCCAGCTCTTGGGTGGAGTCACTTGGAACTGGGACGTCGTCTGTCTACCCAGACCTGTGCTGACTGCCCGGGTCAGACCTGGGACACGGTTACACCCGTGTGCATTTAGGGCCATCGACTGTGCGCCGTCCTGCAGACGCAGCAGGGGTGCCTTCTGCAAAGCTAGCAAGTCTGCATCTGCCGCTGGGGGTGAATTCTTTGCTACAGAACTTGACACGTTAAGCGTGTAAACAAGGGAACGAAATTAGAGGTCTTCCAGGGAAGACTTGCCTCTTGGAGACTCGGGTTCCTGTGGGCCAGGCTGTGCACGTGGGCGTCCTTTTCCGTGGGCGTATGGGTGGGTGTCTTCACTGCCCACCACGACCATGTCTGGACGCAGGGCCACTCCTCTGCGCCTGCGGGCCCCCGAGGCCCACAGGCCACGCTGCCCTGACACCCCCTTTCCTGCCGCCTTGATGCCTGCCTCCCATGTGCCTTCCCCGGGGTTGCACACGTAGCCAGGGGAGGGATGTAGACACCCCCTTCCCGGCCCTGCGTTGTCACTCAAGTGATTTAAGGGGCTTACAAAGGGGAAATGCAGCAAGAAAACAGTTCAGTTAAAGACAGAGAAACCAGGCAGGCAGGGCCCCTTAACGGACTTGGGAAGGAGCAAACCCAGTGGACACGTGAGCACCGGCCAAGTCCAGGAGGCCGGAAAGTGGGGCTCAGCGGTGTTGGGGGGTGACCCCCACTTCCAGGGGCCACGGATGAGGAAAAGAGCCCTTTATTCGAGACATGAGCCCAACACATGTTTTGTTCTTTCTTCCTCGAGGCGACCCCGCGTCAGCTGCACCGGGCTTTCCCATCCCTGACCCCGCTTGAAATATCCACGACCTGCCATGACCGGGCCGTGCGCCTGGCGGGAACCCAGGCCTCTGCCCCAGCTTCACGTTTCCCCCAGAACCTGCACCTCGGCCACTGGACACTCCTCCTGGCTGTCTTGGTCCCAGGAGTCCCAGGTCATCTGCGGGGTGAGGGAGGCGAGGTGAGTGGCAGAGCCACAGTGGGGGCAAGTGCACCCTGGAAAGCCCCAGGGGCAGGGGCAGCACACAGAACACACCTCGGCGGGAGGCTCCCCAGGGGCTCCCGGACCCGCATCTCGGGGTGACCGCCCGTGTCACAGGACTGGAGCCGGCTCCTCCCCTGCCCATCACGTTCCCAAGCCACCCTCCAGGGCCAGCAGTGCCCTGCTCCCTGGGCGGGGCTGCAGGCACCTGGAACCAGTTGTGTCCCCCGGCGGGAGACACCACGTACCGTCCTTCCGTTCTGAAGTTTGCCATTGATATGGTCTTTCATGTGAGGGATGGGAGGGAACAGCTTCTGCATCACCGAGAACCTCGGAGGAGAGAGAGAGACACCTGTTCTGAAACCCGCACCCACCAGCGGAGGGGAGATGCGGCGTCCACCAGAGGACCCCAGCGAGGCCCCGATGTAGTAGGAGTCCAGCCTCCTTTGGGAGGGGTCCCTGCAGGAGGCGTGCGGACATGAGAAAGCGGAGCCCTAGCAGAGCTGCATCTGCTCTGTCAGCTGCACCACACCCACCTTGGCACATCTCCCAGGACCCCATCCTATCACCATGGCAACCTCTCCACCCCCCCCACCCCCCCCACAGCCTCCGCGCGGAGCCGGTGGTCCCCTCCCTGGGGCGGCGTCCCATCCGCTCCCAAACCAAGCCCCTGGGCGGGGCGGCTCAGCCTGAAGCGGCTGGGAGGGGGGGGCGTGAAGCCAGCAGACACACGAGGCAGGAGCCGGCGCTCGGGGCTGGGGGGTGAGGCGAGCGGAGCGGGGCGGGGGGGGCGCCGGCCTGGGCGGGGCCTGTGCCGGGCGCACCCTTTCGGCTTAGCACGCAGGCCTGTGGGGGGGACCGCAACCGGCCTGGCTGACGCTGCCGCGCGCCTGCTGCCTGCCGGGCTGGGGAGGGGTCCCGGAGCCCCGTCCGGAGCAGCTTCCTTTTCTAGGGTCGCTTTTACGGCTGCTCCAGGGAACCAAGATGGCCGCCCAAGAGAGAGCCCGGCCAGCCCCCCTTGGGAGACAGGAAGATGCCTGGTGCTCAGAGGGGCCGGGAACCGCAAGCTCCCTTTGCGTCTCAGCCCAGGCTCTTGGCATCCAAACAAAAATATTCTTTCTAATCACTAGAAGGTCGGTATTCGTGGTGGCCACCGCCAGTGAGGTCAAGAAGAGAGGTGGCATCTCGGGTGTCGGACGGAGGGGCGGGCGTCGGGGTGAGGTGTGAGGGAGCGAACAGCGCGGGCATGTGGGGACCAGCAGGGCAGTCTGACTGCAGACCCCCACACAGGTGCTGGGGAGGGAGGGGCCCGCAGGGTGCTGCACGGGGGACCCGGCTCCTTGGGTTCCGCGGGCGTCAGGGACCAGGTGGCAGAAGCCAGGCTCTGGTTGGCAAAAGACCTGCTGGGGCGATGAGAGGCGGTGGCCTGCGGCCGGCGGGGGCGCGTCCCGCAGCCCAGACGCACGGGCGCACGGGGCGGGGCGGGGGCGGTGGAGGGTCGGCATCGCGAGCTGCGTGACCTGCGGATCGCGCTCCAGAAAACGACCGCGCAAACCAGGGGCCCGCGGGCTCACCTGCAAAACCGGAGCCCGAGCCCCATAGCCAGCAGCGTCCCCAGCGCGATCAGCAAAGACGTCAGCCAGACGGGGAGGCGCGCGCCCTCCTCACACACTAGGGAAGAGGGGCGGGACGCGTCGGGCAGGTCCCGGGAGGTCCGGGGTCAGCACCTCCACGGGGGCTCGGGGAGGAGGTGGCCGGCACTGGGGGCGGGGGGCGCGTCCAGGAGCGCCGTCCACCTGGGGACAGCGGCCACCTGCGCACCGGGTCGGGCCCCGCGCGAATCCCTCCCAAGTCGCCAGAATCCCGATGCCCCCCGACCACCGACCGACACCTGGAGTTGGGGGCTGGTAGCGCCGACCCCTCGGATCAATTCGGGTCGCGGGCGGGGGGTCAGCCACGCCCATCGGGAGGGGCCGGGCCGAGGTTGGTCTGTTCCCCACCTCCCTCCCTCCCTGCCACGCTGCGTCCTGGGTGCGCGCTGCCTTAGTTCTTGAATTTAATATATGGATTAAACATCATGGATTTTTCGCCTCAATTTCGATTCTTTTTTTAACTGCATTAAAAGGTTTGACTTGTAACTCAGAGTGTTGGCGATAGCCGTCTCCACGCGCCCGGCGCAGCGCCATGGAACAGCTTGGACACACAGAGTCCATCAGAGACGGGAAGGAGGCGGTCACAAGCCCAGGGACGTCTGGAGCCCCCGGAAGCTGGAAGAGACAGGAGGGACCCTCCCACTCACCGAAGTGTTGGGGGACACTCCACGGGCCCCAAGGTTTGTAATGAGAGAAGGTGGCATCCCTGGCCCTTACTTGCACTGTGTAG